ACAGTCCGATTCCATGAACTTGCAAAGCTGGTGCCTCACATGGTCACTCCTGAGGAGAAACGGATAAATCGTTACATCTGGGGTTTGGCACCAGAGATCCGGGGAATGGTTACTTCAACAAACCCAACTACCATTCAGAGTGCAGTGACTTTGGCAAATCGATTGACTAACGACATGATTCGGACTAAGAATTCGGTAAAGGGAAGCTATGGTGAAAAGAGAAATATAGAAAATCAAGGAGAAAAGAAAAATGATGGTGGTTCAGGGAGGAAGCAGAAAACCACAAAGAATTTCATGGTGAGAACACAGGAACAAGAGCCGGTGAGGTGTCAGGAACGAGGGCAGTACATTGGGCCGCATCCAAAATGCGATAAGTGTAGGTTCCATCATGAAGGAGCATGTGCAGTGTGTCAAAAATGTAATCGAACGGGCCATATAGCCAAGTATTGCAGGATGAATAAGGATGAAAAAAGGGCATGTTACGAGTGCGGGAGTACTGATCACCTCCGCAATGCTTGTCCCAAAATAAACAGGGGGCCTGGTAACAATGGACAAGGCCAAGCTAGGCAAAATTTCCAAGGAAATCAAGGTGGGCGGCCAAGAGGTGTAGCCTTTGTGATTGGTGCAGAAGAAGTTCGTCAAAACCCTAAAGTGATTACAGGTACGTTCCTCCTAAACAATCACTTTGCATCTGTAATATTCGATGCGGGAGCAGATAGGAGTTTTGTTTCTTTAGCATTTAGACCATTAATTGACTTGAAATCGAGAAAAATGAGGAATACTTATGCTATTGAACATGCTTATAGGTATGAAATTAGGGCTAATGAAATAATTCCAGGCTGTACTTTGAACTTAGCTGATAAACTCTTTAGCATTGACCTAATTCCTATAGAGCTAGGTAGTTTTGATGTAATAGTAGGAATGGATTGGTTATCCAAGAATAAAGCGAACATTGGTTGTTATGAGAAAGTCATTAGGGTACCTCTCCCCAATGACGAAACCCTTATCATACACGGTGAAAAGCCAGGGAGAAGTTTAAACATTGTGTCAAGCATGAAGATTCACAAGTACCTGAACAAAGGAATTCATGTAGATCCAGCTAAGATTGAGGCAATCAAGAAGTGGGAAAACTCCAATTACCCCAAGAGTTAAGCGCCATTCACGACACATTCCACATCTCCAATCTTAAGAAATGTTTAGCAGACGAAGCATTGATAGTACCTCTGGAGGAAATCAAGATCAATGATAAGCTGAATTTCGTTGAGGAGCCGATAGAAATCCTTGACGGAGAGGTGAACAACTCAAGCAGGGTAAGATTCCGATTGTGAAAGTTCGATGAAACTCGAAACGCGGGCCGGATTACACCTGGGAGCGTGAGGACTTCATGAAGGAAAAGTATCCACAACTTTTTCCATACGATGACAAATGATGACATAGAATGAATTTCGGGACAAATTCTTTTTGAGTGGGGGATACTGTGACAACTGTCAAATTGAGGACATTCTCGGACTCATGCATCTTTTTATAAAAAACCATATATGCACAACATGCCATGGCCTAGTAGTATAAATTAGGTCAAAATCTTGCATAAACTAGGATCCAACTAAAATCTAGGACTAATATACTTGACTCTTACGATTCTAGTAAATTGTCTAGCTACTGTAGGAAATGCCAATACCCGAATTAGAATAAACTTCAAACTTTGTTACAATTAAAAAAGGGTATAAAACCATAAAAAAATAAATTAAAATATTCTAATTTCATTTCAATATGATGGTGAATATCTAACAAAGTTCCAAAAGCGCTAAAAAGCCCAAAAATCAAAATTTGTAAACTTTAAAACCTAAAAACTCTATAAGATTTGTTTTGAAACTCCTTATATCAAATTTAAATAATCAAATTATGGGATATAATCAAAGACATAAAAATTTAATTATCAAACATTAATCATAATTTATTAGTTAAAAACAAAGATTTTTAAATAAATCAAGAATTACATAAAGAAGCATTTTTATAAAAATTAGGGTTTTATAAAAATTGAAGAGGGAATTTATTTAATTTAAATTTTAAGAGAGTGGGAGCCTCTCTCACTCATAAAGTCGACCACCTCCTCCAAGGCACCCCTTTTCCCCAAAAATCTCAATCATTTTATTCTTCTCTTACACTTCAACTTCCCCTTCATTCTCTCTCTCTCTCACTCCACTCTTTACAACACTCAAACTCTTTCTTCCTCTTTCCAAACCCACGAAATTCTCCAGTCAAGAACACCTCTCAACCTTCAAATCTTCATCTTCTAAGGTTGTTCTTCAAGGTAATCACAAAAATCCTTCATTTTCCTTCATTTTTCTTTCTTGTTTTAAAGGTTTTTCTTGTACTTCTCATTCTTCTACACCATTCTTTATGAACATTCATGAGCATATCCATGAATGTCGAGTTTGATGATGATGGTGGTAGGGTTTCACCCAAGAACAACATGCATGTTGTTTAATGGTGAAATCCAAGGACCAAAACCTATGTCAAACCCTAAAATACAGATTTTTACAAGTTTTAAAGGTTCATATACCTTATGCATTCAAGTATTTCCTTTGAAAACATCACTATGAGCAACATATGTCCATGCATGGTCTTCAAACCATGATGCATGTGATGAACACCAAGCTAAAGAGCTTGATGATCAAAGTACATTGTTAATACTGCATGTAAATGATTTTATCTATAAAAAAAATCTAAAAATCCTTTTCAGTTCGAAATAAAATTTCCCCAGATTCCCAGTAAGATGATATGAATATCTGGAAAATCCCAAGAGTTTTTATCATTTCTTTGATTAACTAAAATTGTTACAAGAAAACAAGGCCATAAATCATTTAAAATACTTTCTGAGGTATATAAATCCTAGATAAATACGTGGATGACCCCTAAAGTAAATGATGGCACCTCATTAAGTTTCATCGATTTTTGTTACTGTTTGTTATGGTTTTAAATTTTCTTTTTATTTAATTCAAATAAATCATAAAACCACTTTAAGGAATGTGAAAAGGCTATATGAGATTTTTCGCAGATCCTACCTCATGTGAAACACTCAGAAAAATATTTTCAGAATTTTTCATATTGCATACCTATTTTTCCCCGATTTTTATATTTATAATGGACTAATAATGGGAAAAATGGTTATACTCATTCACAATTCATGAAAATTTACCAGAAGACCTTATATTATATTATACCTCTAAATAAAAATTTGTATGATTTTTCTATTCAGTATGCTATTTTTCTTCAATTTTCTAAGATTAAATACACTTAAATCCACAAAATCGGATTACAGAATATAAAAATCACCATTGGTATTTTTCCCAGATTATGTATAATGTAAATGAAGTTTACAAAATTTTTGGTAATTTAATTTAGCTGTTTAATACTTATTCACCAATTAATGATTATTCAAGATAATAAAACAAAGAAAAATAGAAAAACTAATTGAAAAATATCTTTTATATTTTTCACAGCTTCTATATATTTAATAACAGTGTTACAAAAATTTTGGGCAATTTTGGAAACTGTCTTCTATTTATTTCCATTTTTGTTAGAATAAATACACAAAAATTATAAAAGCGGGTTAAACTGTTTAGAAACCCATTTTCTTATTTTTCCCAGCTTAAGTATGTTTAATGGTAGTGTTATAAAAAGTTTGGGAATTTTTATCACCTGTATGCGATTTTTAACGAATTTATATTGTTATGAAGGCTTAAAAATTTGGAAAAATAGTTAAACACATCAAAAGTTCAAGGGAAAATTTGTGGAAGACCTATACTGTATTTGGAATAAAAATGTAAAATTTGATGAATTTTGGAAACTGTTTGATAATATTTTTGGATTTTTGGAGTTTAAAACACATTTAAATGAGTTGAAATACCCTCAATTAATATTACAAAAATCTGGAAAATAATATCCAAAATTATCTTAATCACATGAATTATAAAATATCACCATTTCAGAAAAATTGTTACCCATTCAATATAAAACCAATATTAGAACAAAAATTTGGCATTTCTCTATATGTAGAATTTAGTATATTAGAATTAGATTTCGACATAGAAACTCATTAGCGTGTGTTTGATGTCGTAGGATCCCGGTAGTAAAGCGTTGGTGTATTCCGAGGAACTACTTGTAGCTACTTGAAGCATTGTGTGTATTCACGACTCCCCCTATTTTCGGTTATTAAATGTTTTGGGGTGGAAAAGCATGTCCTAAACTATTTATGTTCGTTGTATTTATTTTGACTCGTATGAAACTTGGTTGCTATACTTTGTATGTATGTGTATGTTACTTTAATTCATGAGGACTGCATCGCGGTTATGTCCCTGGAATCTCTAGAGACAACTCATGAACTCTTTTGAGCCTATGGTTATTATGGATAACGCTATCAGGAGGTAGACAACTCCTCACTCGCACGATTCGCTTGAGTGCATTTTACCATTTTATACACTATGTTTGCGATACACATAGTAGTCAATAGGGCACGGTTCGGTCATTAGGCTTGGGTTGTGAACTCATGAATGGAAACTTGATGCGCATACGAATCCTACATCGCATTTTAGCAACGAAACTATTACACTCATTGTATCAATAAAACTTGTTTAATTATTATAGCAACGAATTTTGTTTCTTATTATAGCAATGTACTTTTATTTATGGAAACTTCTATACCAAACCTTGATTTAGTAAACATGTGAACTCACTGACTATTTTCATAGTTGACGCTCGTTTTACATTCTTTTTCAGGAAATAATTTGTAAGTGGATATAAAGATTCATCATCATAGAGCATGCTGCATCGTGTGGAAGTTATTTTGTGAAGTTAACTTTTGAACAATGTTATTTTGGGAAACTTGTATTTTGGTTTTGTTTAAATTATGGTTTGTAAACTTTTAACTATTACTATGGTGATGTATCTTTATCTTTTGCAATGAAACGTTTATCGCTGTCATATCTTGCGTTTCCGCTTTAGCGGGGTGTGACAACAGGTCTTGTAGCTCTTTCACTTGTAGGTTGAGAAGTTGGATTGGCTGGACCAGAACTAGAAGCAATGATCATTTCTCCTTCAGTGCTCAAAGGTTGAAATTCATCACCAAACTTTTGAAATAGGCACTGTTTTAGGTCAAAGAACAGAGCAGTTAGACCACCAAGATCTGCTTGAAGTTGTAAGATATTTGAAGCTTTGTCGGAGTTCTCTTTCTCAAGCTCGCTGATACGAATGTCTTGCTTTCCAATTATTAAATCTTTTTCTGCAGAGCTTTGTTCTAGATCAAAGACTCTATTCTAATGTAAAACCACATCAACCAATTCAGATTCAGGTAGTTTGCTTTTACCTTTGGAGATGTCCAGCTCAGGTGTTTCAAATGAGCTCTTGAAGCTTGAGATCCTTCCGAAGGTATGACTTCTTCTTCAACAATTGGGCTTTCAAAATCTTGATCCATAGGAATGGATTCAGTGAACGGGCTTGATATTTCTTGAATCACTAGAGTGGACTCAGTGAATGGGCTTGGTATGTTTTGAGCCATAGAATCAGGCTCAATCGGTGTAGATTTCTTTTGAAGGGGGTCTGTGATAAGCACTCCCGGCCTTTGATCTCTTCTTTTTTGCTTCCTTGGGAGTAAAGCGTGGGTAGAGTCTTCTAGATCACTTTCAGATGGAGGTTCAGTATAAACAGGAATTGTTTGGGGAGGCATCCTCACAGTTCGCAAAAGTTCTACAATAAGAGCATCCATCTGTTCAGGGGTTGGTGAGGAAGATTACACCATTAGATCATTTTCCCTTTCAGTCATGATCGGAGGTGTAACATCTACATCCTCTTCTGGGAATGAAATACTTTGTTGAATAAAATCTTCAAACTCATTTTCTGACAATTCATTTCCTTGATCCTCTTGATCTTCTTCATCATCAGATACTTCAACCTCTTTAAAGGCAAATTGAAACTTTGGTTTGGGTGCCACGTGTTCCTCGGCAACCTCAGTATTTATGGAACTAACAGCAGGAGTGTCTTCAACCTCAGCAAACTTTCCAAATTTAAGTAACTCCTTCAATCCTTGATAAGCAACTTTGGCAGCCTTTCTTGATTGCTTCATGAGTCCAAATGTGTTGGGACCCAAAGCTTTCATATCCAAAGTATTAGATGACCTTTCGATTTGGGGATATTTTTCATTAAAGATCATTTGAAGGAACCTAAGGTACATAAAAATAGGTCCTTTTTCTTTCCCAGAAGGTTGCTCTTCATCTCTTCAAAAACAAATTTTGAGAAGATGTAATCCCAGTCCATAGCTAGAGCGACAATGGCTGAGGTCACAGTCTGACTAATTTCATCAGAACCTCCCTTTCTTCCAGAAATGCAAATCACAAAGGAGTGTGCCAAGAACCTCCAGTAAGGTGGCAGTAGCTTCTTAATATTGGGAGGATAGGTTCCTTCATAACACATCTTCTCCAGAACCTCCTTGACTTGATCAGCAGAGTACTCAATTGGGAATGAAGATGCATCAACAAATTTAAGTACCTCTAGGATAACTTGTTCAACAAATTTAAGATGCATCAACAAATTTAGCACGAAGGGCTTGAGAAATCCTGCAGTTGTTCAAACCCACCATCATAAATTTGAATTCTTGATGATCAGTAGGTGGATCCATGAGATATCCATCAATGTTCTGAGAGTCTACAAATTTTAGTTGCTCTGCCATTTATTTGCACCAAACTAGCCAAGTCAGAATTAATTTAAAAATAATTAAATTGAGTCTAAAATTTGATTTTGGTTAAAGTCAAAGTTTTAGTCGATTTCGGTCAAAGACAAAGTTTCAGTCGTTTTCGGTTAAAGTCAAGATTTCAGTCGATTTCGGTCAAAAAGATTGATTTCGGTCAAACACTTGTTGAGTAGATGATTTCGGTCAACGCTGGTTGATTTCGGCCGAGAACCCAGTTTTTGGTCAAGTCTTCATTTGAATTCGGTCAGATCCAGGTTGAACCGAAAACCCGAAATCTCATCGGAACCTGTTCCAACTCAGTTCTTCGAAAAACCTTGAGAAATTTACTCAAAAACCTGCAAATATATGAAATCGAGTACACCAAAACAACTTTAAATAATAACATTTCCATGATTGAAAACCCAAATAATACCTGATACACCGAACAATTTTTAACAAAAATAACGATTGAGTAGGTTTTAGCAGAAAAACTCGAAGTGAGAAAAGAGAAAAACGACGACGATGATGACGATGGTTGTTTGAGGTTTTTCGGTGAAAAACCCTAACCAGCCGAAAACAAAGTATATATATAACCGAAAAATCCCAGACGACCCACTTAACCGATTTCGGCCCATGAACTGTAACCCAAATTTTAATAAAAATGATTTCTTTCGATTTTACATTTCAAAAAAAAAAAATGAAAATAAAAATTAAATAAAATTAAACACCCTTTTTAATTATTTATTATTATTTATTATTTTTTTGTTTATTATTTTGTTTATTTTTTATTAAATGATTTCTTTCGATTTTACATTTAAAAAAAAATGAAAATAAAAATTAAATAAAATTAAACACCCTTTTTAATTATTTATTATTTTTTTGTTTATTATTTTGTTTATTTTTTATTTTATTATTTCTCCCCCTGAATTTGTGCATAACAATGAAAATATGTGCAAATTTAAATAAAAAAAATGTAATCCAGAACAAAAACTTTTTCGGATCAAACGTTATAGAGCAAATTAATGAGGTTTATCAGCGCACACGTTCATGAAAAGCTCTGGTCAATCATTGATATTGTGATCCACTTCAACACAAATGACATTTTTCAGGACGGATCATGAGTGACGATATATAGCTACTATATTCCTAGATAGACCATTTTGACTGATGATGACTAGGGATATTGTTGTCCACTTAAATTTCGCCAGTAAAATCTACCAGTCAGCCTTTAGTTATGGGTGTAGTTGGTGTTAGTGCACTAGAACATGTTCCCCACTTCATGACATACCCCAGTAATCAAGGAAATTTCTTCGGAATCCTTTACTTTAGGTGAGTAGATAATCATTGTGGAATGCATATGTTGTGTCGCAGGTCGGATCTATCGATCACGCAAAGGGGACAACATATGACTAACATAGAGAGTATGATGTTTGATATTTGTAGGAGACGGTATAGTGACTTAAAAGCAGTGAACATCATCTGAGTGCATATGTTGTGTCCCAGGTCGGATCTTCCAATCACGCAGAAGGGACAACATATGGCTGACTAAGAAAGAAAGAATAACGATTTTAAATAGACCCAATTTATCAGAACCCCTCAGTCACCCCCTGTCAATACAAGAATTAAGGACACAAGTCCATACGCCAATGAAGTGTTGAGCCACGGATCTAGATGATAGTTAGTTTCAATTTATGTCAGAGGCCTCCTTGTCTATGTTATTGTTAAATCTATCCAAGTGTCGTATTGTCAGTCCAAATGAGGTTTTCTAAGTTCAAATGAATCCACATTGTCTAGTTCATTATTCTTAGTCCTTTATGCCTACCAACACATTGAACACAGAGTTTAGACAATTCAACTTTAGTGCTTTACACGTATTTCGTTTTCCCTTTATCACTAACTCATATCACTTCCCAAAAGACTGTCACAAAATTTCCTTTTCTAAATATAAAACAAAATGGAAGAAAATAAGAAATACTAAATCAAAATGAAAAGAAATTCCGGTCTTTGAAACATATCATATGAAGAAATCCCATAAGCACAATTTTTTTTTTTAAATTAGGTTTTTGGACGATCGAAAATCAGCATTATTATCAAAGAGAATAGAAGAGTCATAAAATTCAAACCGTAATTCAGCAATTGAAGAAATCCCCATTTGTGATCTTTCCTTTTCCTTTCTCGCAAAGGACACATGCTCTCTATTAAAATTTTGAATGTCATGCATAAGAGAGATGTCCCCTATCATGTGTCAGGAACAGCCACTATCAACATACCGAAGTCTGATGATATTCCTCCATAGTTGCTCTGGCACAAAGTGCGGGATTAATTGGTTTTAGGAACCCAATCCATTTTGAAACTGGGTTGAACTTTGCCAGCTACGCATGATACGTGTTCCCAAGTCATATCTTGTTTATCAAACACAGAGAATAAAGAGATGTTAGAATTTTCAGATGATTTAGGAGTTGAAACTTTTTGTACCCATTTGTAGTCAGGTTTAACCATTTTCTTATTTAATCGTATGGATGCTTCAGCACTTGTTTTGGAGCTTGACACCGATCGCCGAGATGACTTCGACCTTACCGATCTTGGTTTGACTGAACTATTTCTCAAATCAGATCTCTTGTCAGACATTACCTTTTTGTTCTTGAGAGTCTGATTTTTGGTCTTTTTAGCATTCCAATCACCATTGCTTGAATGTGACCTTGAAGGATTTCTTTTGGAAGATCTCCCCCTTGGCACGTTCTGCCAACCTTGTTCAAAGTAGGGAACATATGAACGATGTGGTCAATTTCTAGCAATGTGACCAAGAGTCCCATCGTTAAAACAAGTTTGTGTTTTCAAATAAATAAGATTGTGACTTGGTCCTTATCCAAATGAAGTTTGTTTCAAAGAACTTCCACAAGCACAAGCACATTCATTAGACTGTTTAACATATTTTTGTGGCTTGAATTTTTCAATAGTGGGATTATCATCATCACAAGTTTTTGAAGCATTTTCAGTAGAACTAGAAGTATTTTTGTTCTGCTCAAACCCATCTTGCACAGTTACGTTATCTGCACATGAATTAGAAACATCAGTATCGTTCACATTAATACTCTCATTTGGGTCGGATTGTTCAGTCTTGATTGAGGCATTTACAGGGGGCTGGCCATATTGTGCAGGTGTCTCTATCTCTTTGGTTTCAATGGGCGAAGTATAGTTATCATTGAAAGGAGGTGGAACATTATGATACCCTAGACCCTCACCCTATTTGTCTTTCCACTTTAATTGTTTTTCTATCATTGACTCAACTTTCTCACTTGACACACCGAATTTCTTAAAATTAAAGTCAGCATCCTTAAATTTAGCCTTTAATGCATCAAGTTCAGCAGTTAAGTTTGCATTTTTCTCCTTGGCAAAGCGATAGTGAACACATTTGGTGTTGTATTCTTCTTTAATCCTGCTTAAATCTTTAGTTTGTGCTTCTAGTTTTTCTTTAACCGGTTTATTTACTTTCTTGATTTCATATATTTCATTCTTAAGGTTAAAAACCTCTCTAACTAATAATTCATTTCGTTCACGGTATTTATTTACTTTACCTTCACAGGACTGAGAGCATGAGGCTTCGCTAACCTCCTTGGTACTGTTGTAAAAAGTCATTATTTACCAACAAAAGGAATGTGATTGTTTAAATTGATTTTGACCGAAAACCAAGACAAATACCCTTTGACCGAAAACACCAATAGTCAACACCCTGTTGACAAAGAACCTTGAAGTTCAACTGTTTGACCGAAAACAGTTTACCGAGAATTATATATATTGGCCGAGAACTCTTCAAAGCCGAGAACCCCAAGTCTTTTTACCGAAAACGTTATTCAGCCGCCGAAAACACTAAGACCTAGCGGAAATCAAGGTTTTGATCGTGTTTCCTTATCCAATGAATCCCAAATTTGGTAAATTACCAAAAACGATCTCTAACGCAATATCCTCCAAAATTAGTGAGGAACACCAAGAAAAAGATGAACACGAAGAACAGCAATAGATGAACAGTAAAATCCCTTTTTAAAAAACAACCCAAAAACACCACAAACAAATTATTGTTTCGAAAGCAATTGATACCAAAACAGCCTTAAGTCGGGTTTAAGGCTCTGATACCACTTGTAAGTCCCTGACCTTGGATCTATCAATGTATCAATGCAGTTGTTTGATTTAATGCGAAATCTTAATCAAACAATGATACGAAACAATCTATAAGATATATCAAGAACACGTTCCAAATGAATGCACACAATTCTATTGAATAATTGTCAAGTACATTCAATCACCCTTCAGCCGTGAATAACTCTTGTTCACTCAAAAAACGCATCCTCTTAAAACGGCTATACACAGACTATATATACTAAACCGATTAACCTAAAGCC